CCAAAGTGATTATCCACACATATCATGCTGCTCTGAAATTTTTATTTTTCAAGAAAGAGTCTAAACCAAGACTACTTCGTTAGATATTATTGCTGCAGGAATTTGATCTAAAAATTTGTGAGAAAAAGGACAAGGATAATGTTATTGCAGACCATTTGTTAAGGCTGAAAGGAACTTCATTATCATATGCAACAGAGGAGATACAAGAAAATTTTCCTGATATGGCAAATTTTAAAGGTCATGGTTTGCTGACATTGAAAGGTCATGGTTTGCTGACAAGGTAAATTTTAAAGCCTCCAATATCATCTAGAGAAATTGACATGGCAGCAGAAAAAGAAATTTTTTAAAGGTATTATAATCCAAGTCACAACGTCTCCTCTGTTTTCTCTAATTTTTCACTTTTTCTCTCATAAAATTTTCTTAAACCTCAATCTTTCTTTGAATCTGAGCTTGGAAGTTCACCTTAATTATCTTCAAGTAAGTTCTTGGAGCTTAGTTATATGTTCTTTAGTTATTTCTCTGTTTCTTACTTTCAAAATGATTTTTTTTGTGATATTTAAGAACTCCACTCTTTAAGTAAGATCCTTCTTAAATCTTTTTTTACACCTTCATTTCAAGGTAAGGAGAGTTCTATTTTTCCATTACTGAGAACATGATGTATTTTGTGCTCTTGTGGATAAATTGTTATTTGTTCTTTGTTTGTAAATATGTGTTTGAGTAAAACTATTAATGATTTAGTTCCTTGATGACTTAAGTTATATGTGGTATTGAATATGTACGTTTTGGACTGAATCCGGAGGTGTCTGACCTTCGGCATGGTTGATTGATGCATGCTATAAAAGTGAAGTTGAATAAGTAGAAAAAAAATATAATATGTGATAAGTGACAAATTTATGTTATGATAAGAAAGGAGGAAAAGAACAAGGTTATGATGAGAAAGGAAAAGTAACATGGACATGTATGGATAGTACAGAGATACACTATGAGTGTGAAAGAGGAGGCGATTTTGGAAATCTTGAAAAAATAAGGATGGCGGATGCTTTTCTTTAATTTGTGAATAACTAACGAGAGTAAAAGCACCACAGGCCTCACACTCATTTCTTAACCTAAACTCCTAACCATGCTTTTGGTAAGAAGGGACAGGTTGGTATACGTTGTATCTATGTAGCTGCGGTTAGCCAACAACTATCTATGTAAAAAATAAGACCTCAAGGGATCCCAAAGGCAAAGAATGATGAGATGAGGAATAAAAGAATCTCTATAGAAAGAATGAATTATAAGGTTAATGAGCATTGTATGTACATAAAACTTATTGTAGGATATAATTGTTATTCTGATTGATTGATGTTATTTATTCATGTATGATTTGGGGTTGATTGTGATCATATTTAGTAATGTGAAATAGGCTCATCCTTACCTAAGTGGTTGGTTAGTAGTAGATTAAATCATGTTTTTAGAGAGTGGCGACATATATGTTTTTATAAATTTGTTGTAGACTATAGTAATGAGTGAGGAACATTTTCACCTTAGAAATGACGATGAGATATAATATTCCTTTTCATTACCCTCTCAATGATAAGATCCACCATACTCTTAGTGTATATATATATATATATATATATATATATAGTTATTTATTTATATATAGATAGAGAGAGAGAGATAGTTAGAACCCTGACAACTACGAATTTTATATATACCTTTTATGATCACAACTACTTTGAAAGATTAACTTAGTTTACCTTAAAGCAGGAGACTGGTACTATGGTTTTGTTTCTTTGTAAATTATGTATGAGTTGTAAAGTATTTGTAATTATGGTTTTTAATTATCTAACTTTTGTATATTAATGAAGGTTAACATATGTATATTTTATTTCAGTCTTGGCTTAAATTTATTCATAAGTTGTGATGAAATGACAAATGTATACTCCTCTTCTATCATTTTAATACTTGTACATTTTATAAACTAAGTAATAAAGATGAAAGTTTTAAATTTTATCAAATTTTTCACTATGAATATAAGTAAATCTATTTTATTTCCTCTTTTCAATATAAATTATTTTACAAATTGTGTAAATAAAATAAGGATATTACACTTCCTACCTTTGAAAGTTGGATTCACATAGACGAATGTGCAACTCCAAGATTAGGATTCTTTGATCAAAACTACATTGATGTGAACAAAGTTTAGAGAGTAACATAAAACCTTCGAGTATATTAATCTATCCCAAAATATGGATAAACCTCTATCTAGCTCCACTGAGTCCACATAAAACTATTCTAAAACTTCAATTTATACTTAATGAACTCCATTTTACTACTAGCAGCTCTCTTTCCATTAGAAAAAGAATGACAAGCTTAAGCTTATAACAAAGTTTCTCTAATTCTCAAATTGTTGCAATAGCCTTCACACCACGACAATTTCTACTAAGAATAATCATGGCTAAGTTAGGGACATGATAAGGCTTGCCTCCTTAACCATTGAGTTCATCTTGCCATCCCGTCATTAGTAGGATCTTGAACATAATACTTTGCATTCTCCACTGTGTTCCAAAACTTGTACCATACCAAAAGGCCACTCTAGATTGTTATTGATACACTTTGTTTTTTGCATCTCTACCTTGACACTGCATTACTATTCTTCTTTCAAATTTTTTTGAGTTATAACTAGGCAAAACTAATAATTACGTTACCTAGGCCTGCTCAACTTATGTTCAAGTCAAGTTTTGTTATGGATTCAACTCCTTCTTCCATAATAAGTCCACTAGGATGGTACATAATTAATTGCTTTTCTTGGTAATCAAACTCAAATCTAGGTACCTGATAGGTGTCTAGTTCACATTATTTTTAGTGGTGTTTTGTTTGAGTTTTCTAATTTATTTGTGTTAGTTTTCCCTTTAATTCCAATTGTTTTCCTTCATTCCGCACATGTTATTCGAGTGTCTCAGTTTTGCAGGAATAGCTTTGTTATAGGTTCATAAACTTAGAAACGAGAGGCATTTGATGAAGCATTTGATGAATGGAAATGAGTTCAAGCCACTAAAAGCACAAAAATAAAGCCATATCAACTCTTGGATTGCACTATGGAGAAAAGATACATGAAAAAGAACACTCCTAAGCCTTAAAACATTGTCAAAGAGCATTTTGGTGAAGTTAAGATAAGTCCACTGCTAGTGGGTTTTTCCCACTGGCTGTGGACCTCACTGGAAAATGGCACAGTGGCGTAAAAAATCCACTACCAGTGGATTTTTCCCACTGGCCGTGGTTCTTGCTGCATGGAAGGGAAAATTGAGCATGTCTGGGTCCTTGTCATGATCCACTGGCCATGGGTTTTTCTCACTGGCAGTGGATTTTGCACGTTCTGCACTTCCTTTAATTAGCGGAGCGGTTTCTGATAAAAAAAGAAAACAAAAAAGAAAAAGGAACCACGAATGGAAAGAGTTTTTTAGTTTTTCTTGGGCAGACGGAGAAAAAGAACGAGAAGATCAAGAGATCAAGATTTTAAGAACATTGGTTTTTTGGCAGACTGAGGAAGAAGATTCAGAGGACATAGTGAGAACATTTCCTTTATTTTCGGACCCCTTTTTTGTTTTTAATTTTCTTCTATGTTGGGTTTGATTTATTGTATTGTGGCTTAGTAATCATCATTTCTATGGCACACTAAATCTCATTCTTGGGATTAAGGGAAATATGTTTTTGTATCAAATTTGAATACTTTGAATTTATCTGTTATTGGATTTTTGTTTTCTATTCATTTCCATGAGAACCTAATGCTTCTAATGGCTTAGAGATAAGGTTAGATGAGTTTAAACAATATGGACGATTGAGAGATCGACATATCGTTCGAAAAGCATGGAATTGAACCTGGGATTTGGGTTACGAAAGTAGACAAAGCTCTTTGAGGGGTAATTGGATTTTCATAAAGCGTAAGGGATCTACTTAACGAATTGAACGTGGCTCTTTGGTAATTAGGTACGTTAGTGGGGTTTCGAGAGAAATGAACTAATCAATTAAGGAAAATACACCTTAGAAATAGAAATTGAATAATGGGGAAATGAATTGCTTTAAATTTGGTACATGACATATGAACCTACCGACTCCCAAGAATTTTTAATTCATCTTGATTCTCAAGGAAGTTTTCAATCTGAATCTTTTGTCAATAGTTTTTGGTTTTCAATTCATTATGCAACATATTCTCTTTGAAATGATTTGTCTGGATAATTGAATCACTGTGAACTAGTACTTGGGCACAATCTCTGAGGGAACGATAACTTTTTATTAAGCGATACCCTGTATGCTTGCGGAACGACTATCAAGTTTTTGGTGCCGTTGCCGGGGATTGTGTTTCCCCCAATATTGGCTAAGCGGTGATTTAGTTAGATTAGACCTTTTAAATTTTCTGCATTATTTTTCTGGTTTGGGTCAATATTTTTCTGCAGAACTACACTTTGATTATTGTATTTCTGTGGATTTTGCAGGCTCTTTTATGCGAAGTACTATTAGTTTCAAAGACATCTTCGACCTCGAAATTGAACGGACCCTCCGTAAGATCAGATTTCTCCGAAGACAACGAGAGCAGAGCAAACAACAAGCCTTTGTTTCAACAAACCACGGTCAGATGACTGATCCAGAAAACAGAGCACTCCGTGATTTTGTAACACCAAACTCAATGAGTAGGAGGCCTAGCATCACAAGGCCTACCATTGAAGCGAACAACTTTGAGTTGAAGCCATCCTTGCTCTCGATGGTTCAACAAAACCAGTTTGGTGGACTGCCTTCCGAAGACCCGAATTTGCATCTCCAAATTTTCCTTGAGTACTGTGATACACTCAAAGTAAATGGAGTTTCAAGTGATACAATCCGGTTAAGACTTTTCCCGTTCTCTTTGAGAGATAAAGCTAGAGCTTGGTTGTATTCGCTTCCAGAAGGGTCAATTTCAACATGGGAGCAGTTGTCTCACGCTTTCCTCAACAAGTACTACCCACGCAGTAAAACAGACCAGTTAAGGAAACAAATCATCACTTTCATCCAAAAAGATGATGAAACTTTATATGATGCTTGGGAGAGGTATAAAGAAATGCTTCGGGAATGCCCACACCACGGGATTGAGCGCTGGTTGACCGTGCACATTTTCTATAATGGGCTATCTCCAAACCAGAAAGTGACGCTAGATGCTGCAGCTGGCGGTGCCTTCATGAGCAAAAACATGGAGGAACTATGTACTCTCTAGATGTTGTCTCTTTACTTACTGCTAAGGTAGAGACTTTGTCTGTTAAATTTGATAAACTAGGAGCAGGTACTACTAATGTTGTCTGTGAGTTATGTGGTGTTCCAGGTCACAGTATTTCAGGTTGTCAGCTTGGTGTAATCCAAAGTGCCGAGCCAGAGATGCATCAGGTAGATGCGATTGGAAACTATGGTGGGAACTATGTAAATAATTTTAGACAACCACAAGGACCACCTGGTTTCCAAAACAGACCACCTTTATTCCAAGGCAATCAAAGTAGTTACAGACAACCACAAGGATTTTAGGTCTTTAGAACGGAGTTTACCAACAAAAACTCCAGGTAAGTACTCTCTAGATGCTGTCTCTTTACTTACTGCTAAGGTAGAGGCTTTGTCTGTTAAATTTGATAAACTAGGAGCAGGTACTACTAATGTTGTCAGTGAGTTATGTGGGGTTAACATACCCACATGGGTTTTTAATTGCAACAATCAAATATGAACACATATAAACCTTCCCACATGATCAATTTCACCAAAAACAAAACAAAATATCAAGTGTGAGAAAACCCAAAACTAGAGAAAAATCCCAAAATGTGAGTGAAATGTGTTGCTTACTTGATGAATATGGTAGAAAGAGATGATGTAGATGTGATTATGGGTGAAGGAAACTTGTGGATTTGAATGGGATCAAGGAATTTCTCAAGTTAAGAGTGATTAGGAAGGATAATGTGTAGTGGTGAGGGAGTGTCTAAGAGGGAATGGAAAACACGGGTAGTGTGAGCATGATATAAAACAAACAAAATTGTAGTGGATCACGACCCACGGCCAGTGGAAAAAACACACGGCTCGTGGGTCCCTCTGATTTTATCCAAAATTGTTCACGCACTGCACCTGTTAAGACCCACTGCTAGTGGGAAAAACACACGGCCAGTGGGTTTTTCTGACTTGAAATTTTTTTTATTGTAGATGGCTGAAATCAGAAAGGTCCACTGCCAGTGGTGATTTCCCATTGGTGGTGGATCACACTGTTCATTAACTTGAAAAATGTAAAGCCTTTAAACCCCTTTATGTGTTTTTTTTTATTTTTTATTATATATATATTTTTTGTTAATTTTCTTTTTTAGAAAACAGACACACAAAGTTAAGTAAGAAAAGGAATTAAAAATAACAAATGGGTTTCCTCCCCACAAGTGCTAAATTTAACGTCTTCAGTCGAACGCTGTGCTCCGTTTGGAATCATAAATCCGACGCATCAAATAAGTCCAAGACACTTCTAAAGAGAAAGACCTTTGTCACTTTAAATGGTCCTGACCATCGGGACCTCAGTTTACCTGGAAAAAGCCTCAATTGGGAGTTAAATAGTAAAACTATATCACCTGGATTGAATGTTCTCCGTAGGATGTGACGATCATGCCATCTTTTAGTTTTTTCTTTGTAAATCCGAGCATTTTCGTATGCATCTAAACGGAGCTCTTCAAGCTCACCTGCATCCTTATGATCAAGATTAAGAGTTTTAATAGCCCAAAAAGATTTATACTCTAGCTCAACGGGTAAGTGGCAAGGCTTCCCATACACTAGCTTAAAAGGTGTAGTTCCAATGGGAGTTTTGTATGCGGTTCAATATGCCCATAAGGAATCATCTAACTTAATAGACCAATCTTTACGTGATGTATTTACCGCTTTTTGAAGAATGTTTTTAATCTCCCGATTGGACACCTCAACCTGACCACTAGTTTGAGGGTGATAAGGTGTAACTACCTTATGCCTCACTCCATATTTTTTTAGGAGGGTCTAAAAAGCTTTCTCAATAAAATGAGACCCTCTATCACTTAAGATACATTTCAGGACACCAAACCTCAGAAATATTATTTTTTTGAAAAGCTTAATAACAGTTTTAGCATCAGAATGTGGTGAAGCAATGGCTTCCACCCATTTAGACACATAGTCAACCGCTACTAATATGAATTGATTTCCAAAAGAAGAGGGAAAGGGTCCCATAAAATCAACACCCTACACATCAAACAATTTAACCTCTAATATGCTATTTAGTAGCATTTCATGCCTCTTACCAATGTTACCTGCTCTTTGGCAAGCATCACAGGTCAGGACATACTTGCGCACATCCTTAAAAAGGTGTGGCCAGTAGAACCCAGCTTGCAATACTTTTGAGGCTGTCTTGGAGGTGCTCATGTGGCCGAAAGAGAGTGGCAATGGTCTAGGATGGTGTGGACCTCATCTTCTGGAATACACCTCCTAATCAAACCATCCGCAGAATGTTTGAATAGGAAGGGTTCATCCCAATAATAGTGCTTGACATCTGCATAAAACTTTTTCTTTTGCTGAAAGCCAAGATCAGGAAGTAAAATACCACATGCAAGAAAGTTTACAAAATCAGCATACCACGGAACAAGTTGGGTACTAAGATTCAATAATTGTTCATCTGGAAAAGATTCATTGATGGGAACGTCACCCATCTCTACTTTTTCGGATGACAACCTAGATAAGTGGTCAGCGACCAAGTTCTCGGTACCCTTCTTGTCTTTAATCTCTAAATCAAATTCTTACAATATTAAAATCCACCTAATTATCCTAGTCTTTGCTTCTTTTTTATGCAATAGATACTTAATGGCAGAGTGGTCAGTGAAAACAGTAACGTGCGAACCTACCAAATAAGATCTAAACTTATCGAAAGCAAAGACAATGGCAAATAGTTCTTTTTCAGTTGTGGCATAGTTTACCTGAGCATCATCCAATGTTCGACTGACATAGTGGATAACATGTAGCTTTTTATCCTTCCGCTGCCCAAGCACAGCCCCTACTGCGTAATCACTAGCATCACACATCAACTCGAATGGGAGTTCCCAATCGAGGGGCTGCACAATAGGAGCGCAGACCAAGGCCTGCTTAATCCTGCAAAAAGCCTCCAAACAAGATGAATCAAAATTAAAAGCCATATCCTTACCCAAAAGATTTGTGAGAGGCTTTGTGATTTTTGAGAAGTCTTTAATGAACCGCCGGTAGAAACCGACATGTCCAAGAAAGCTCCGAATACCTTTTACATTTATAGGTGGGGGCAATTTTTCAATTACCTCCACCTTAGCCTTATCAACCTCTATGCCTCTCTCAGACACCAAGAACTATGCCTTCCCTTACCATGAAATGACATTTTTCCCAGTTCAAGACCAAATTGGTCTCTTCACAACGCTGCAAGACTTGGCACAGATTTATTAAACAGTTATCAAAATCCAAACCATGCACTGAAAAATCATCCATAAAGACTTCCATCACGTTTTCAATAAGATCAAAAAAAATGGCCTGCATACACCTTTGAAAAGTCGCAGGTGCGTTACATAAGCCAAAAGGCATACGCCTATATGCATAAGTCCCATAAAGGCAAGTGAAGGTAGTCTTTTCTTGATCAGATGGGTGGATGGGAATTTGGTACAAACCTGAATACCCATCCAAATAACAGAAATAAGAGTGCTTTGCAAGCCTCTCTAGCATTTGATCAATAAAAGAAAGAGGAAAATGATCTTTTTTTGTGGCGCTATTTAACTTCCTATAGTCAATGCACATGCGCCAACCAGAAACAGTCCTAGTAGAGATTAATTCATGTTTATCATTTTCTACCACAGTCATCCCTCCCTTTTTAGGCACCACATGAATCGGGCTCACCCATTTGCTACTAGTAATAGGGTATATAACTCCAGCATCCAGCAATTTTAAAATTTCTTTCTTAACCACTTCTTGCATTTTTGGATTTAATCTCCTAGGTGGTTCTACTGTGGGCCTACTCTCATCTTCTAATGTGATTCTATGCATGCAAAAAGAAGGGCTAATCCTCTTAATGTCATCCATTGTATAACCTATTACCTTCCTATACAACCTAAGTTGTTTCAAAAGCTTTTCAGTTTCACATGGGTTCAAATCAGCATTAACAATCACAGGATATGTGGAATTAGGACCAAGAAACTCATACCTCAATGAAGTCGGTAAAGGCTTTAATTCTACCTTGGGGCTCACCACTTTACCACACATGACCTCAGTGTCATGTTTTAGTGGGGGATATTCTTCAGAGCAATTAGATGTTCCTGCAGGCTTAATTACAAAAATAGATTCAAGTGGGTCTTTAGGAAGAGTTTCTTCCTTCACCACTTGGTCAACAAAATCCACACTACAACAAACATCATCATTAAAAGATTTTTTTAAAGCATCCTTCAAGCTAAAATCAACCTTTTGGTCTCCAACTGTCAGAGACAATCTACCATTCTTGAAATCTATTACCGCGCCTGCGATTGCCAAAAATGGCCTGCCTAGGATAATGGGGATCGTGGAATCCTCATCCATTTCTAACACAACAAAATCGGCAGGTATGAAAAATTTTCCTACCTTGATAGGAACATCCTCTAAAATGCCTATAGGATATTTAACAGACCTATCAGCTAGTTGTAAAGACATCCTAGTAGGCTTCAACTCACCCAATCCTAATTTTTCAGAAATAGACAATGGCATTAAGCTAACACTAGCTCCTAGATCACATAATGCTCTATTTATAGCCATGTCACCTATCGTACAAGGAATAGAGAAACTACCTGGATCCTAAAGCTTGGGTGGTAACTTCCTTTGGATCAGTGCACTGCACTCCTCAGTAAGCGCTATTATACCATCTTCCTCTATTTTTCTCTTATTTGACAAAATGTCCTTCAGAAACTTCGTGTAGGTGGGCATTTGCTGCAAAGCATCTGTGAAAGGAATATTGATATACAATTTTTTTAAAACCTCAAGAAACTTACCAAACTGTTTGTCCAACTTGGCCTTGGCCAAAAGCTGAGGAAATGGAATCAGAGGTTGATATGGCTTAACCTCCTCCTTTTTCTCAC